CAGCCAGCAGCCCCCCAGCACTCAGCCAGCAGCCCCCCAGCACTCAGCCAGCAGCCCTCCTGCACTCAGCCCGCAGCTCCCCAGCGTTCAACCCAACCCCCAAGTTCCTGTTCCCTGCCTTGTCCTGGGCCCTGAGACTCGGGCTCCAGTCCCAAGCGCAGGGAATTCCCCACCCCATTTCTGGCCAGGCGCAGGAGGAGCTCAGCAGAAGTCACCCCCTGGGAGGAGCTCCAAGGGCCCCGCCCCGGCCCTGCAGGTGCTCGAAGCCCACGGCCACCAGTGTGCCCCTACGGCTGGCAGACTCCAGAGGAACAGGAAGCCCTGCCCTCCCTGCTATGTGTGACAGCCTGGAGCTCTCAAGAAATGGGGATGGACAGGGCCCACCCTTGAGGAAGGAGGCACTGGGGAAGGTCCCAGGCAGGAGAGGGCAGGAGAGGGTACCAGGTCCCCCACTGGCCCAGGGCATCTGTTCACACCCAGCCTGGTGCTCAGCCCAGGTCAACTTGGCCCAGTCAGCTCAGAACCTGCCCTGAATCCTCGGGGGGCAGCCCTCCCTCCACCTCTGTCTACACTGAGCAGGAAGTGAGTGCTGGACGCCCACTCACTGGGATGGGAGGTCTGAAGTCACGCCTGAACGCTTGGTGGGAGACAAGGGTCCCCCAGCAGGCCGCACTGTCCTGGGACCGGGCTTTGGGGTCGCTCGGGCTGCCATGCCACACTGTCCCAGCATCTGCGCCAGGTAGACCCATCGTCCCTGAGCCTGTCTTCCCACCTGCAGCATGGCTAGGACCTCCCTGGCCGCAGCGGCTGCTGGGCCCGTGCCTGGGTCCTGGGAGGCCCCCTGTGGAACGGAGGTGCTGCTAGCTGCCCAGGCCTGCTCCAAGACCCTGCCTGGGGCTTGCCTTCCCCCAGGAGGGGCTGGCCAGGCTCAGGTCCTCGTGCCCAGCACCATCCTGCTGGCCAAGCCACTGCGCTGGACACAAGGCGTGTCCTTGTCTTTATGTCCTTATCCTTCCAGGTGGCATCATCCCTGGTCCCCGTGCTGGCTTTGGTGACCAGGGATGTGTGTGAGATGGGCCTTGTCCTGCATCTGCGGTGGGTCCCCCGCCTGGCAGGGGGTGCAGGCCACTGAGTCCCTCTCGCTCACCACCCCCCAGGTTCCCAGGTCCAGGCCTAGACTAGGGCCCCAAGCCAGGAGGAGCTGAGGACCTCGGGGGTGAGGCTAGGAGAACGCCCCTAACGGACAGGGCCCAGGCAAATGTGGCTTCAGGGGACTGTGCAAATCATGCTTGAGGACCTGGGGCATGGGGGGAGGCCCCAAAGGGCCCCAAGATGTTGGAATCAGAGCTGGAGGCTCGGGCTGGAGCTGTGTGTGGCACTGGGCTGGGTATCTAGGGCACAGGACAGGGCAGTGTGGGTCCCCGGGTCGTGGTTGGTCATGCAGAACCACAGCTGGGCCTTCCCCCTTTTGCAGACAGGGCCAGGCCTGTGTGAAGGTGAAATGCACAGCAGGGACAGTGCCTAGTGGGGTGGGAGGGGCGGCTTCCACCGTCCCCTAGGTCACTGTGAGCCTTGCTTGTCTTGGACACTCAGGCTCAGCTCAGCAGCCACCCCACTCCCAGGGCCTGCTCCTGGGCCAGGGTGAGACCCAGGTACCTCCTGGTGAGGCTGCGGGCAGGAGCCGAGGATGACAGCCGCATCCCTTACGATGAGTTGCTGTTGGCCAGGCCCCATGCTGAGGACAAAGCTCTGGGGGCCTCACCAAAGCCTGTGTGGGGGCAGTGGCCCCCAGGGACGATGGGGACACTGGCTGCAGGGTGCTGAGAGCTGAGCCACTCAGCTGGGCTTTAACTCCAGAACGTCACCCAAATGTGAGCTCAGCTGGCCAGGCAGGCTCTGAGAGTGGGCGGCTGTAGATCTCAGGTACTGGGGGCCCCACACCTCCGTCACCGCAGCTGAAGCCCGCAGGAGCTCCCAGGAGCAGCGCGGGGCCACGTGGGGAAACCAAGCTTTCTGCTGGGGCACACGTTCGGGCGCCCTGGCTGCAGAAAAGGTGTTTTCATCAGTGAAACGGCCGCGAATTACTAAACTAAGTTTGTTTACAAGGTCTCCAGCAGGGTGCACAGGGTGACCTCCACAGAGATAGTGAGAAGAGGCCTGGGACACTCCTCATGGCCAGAAAAGGAGAGAGAAACGGGTGTGACCTTCGGCTGGGGGCATCCCCGGCTTCCCAGCCCCTGTCTTATGGGTTTTTCATTTGCTCGTTCGTTTCTCCTTCATTCCTGAGTCCTTCATTTGTTCACAAGGACGTGCGGAGGGCCTTTTGCATTTGGGGCCACCTCTGGATCGTTGCATCTCTTGGATTTTGTTTTTTATTGTCTTAATTTTTAAATTTTAATTTTATTTATTTATTTATTTATTTTGAGACAGAGTCTCTGTTGCCCAGGCTGGAGTGCAGTGGCATGATCTTGGCTCACTGAAACCTCCGCCTCCCAGATTCAAGTGATTCTCCTGCCTCAGCCTCCCAAGTAGCTGGGATTACAGGTGTGCACCACCAAGACGGCTAATTTTTGTATTTTTAGTAGAGATGGGATTTCACCATGTTGGCCAGGCTGGTCTTGATCTCTTGACTTCGTGATCCACCCACCTCGGCCTCCCAAGGTGCTGGGATTACAGGCATGAACCGCCGCGCCCAGCCTAATTTTTATTTTTTGAGACAAGGTCTTGCTCTGTTGCCCAAGCTGGAGTGCAGTGGCGCATTTATAGCTCGCTGCAGCCTCGAACTCCTAGCCTCAAGTGATTCCCCCCGCCTCAGCCTCCCAGGTAGTGGGGACTACCTGGTAGCGGGAGACCATGCTCAGCTACTTTTATTTTACTTTTGTAGACAGTCTCACTGTGTTGACCAGATTGGTCTCAAACTCCTGGTTTGAGTGATCACCAAGTGATCATTCAAGTGATCACCCCACCCTGGCCTCCCAAAGTTGAATTACAGGTGTGAACCACCATATGCAGCCTGTTGGTTTTTAATTCAAATTTTAGATGAACGGACTGGTACTGAGTATCATTCCTGTCTCTGTGCTGCCCTCCAGCTGCGTGGCCTCAAGTGTTGTGCTGATGAGAAGCGTTTTCCTCAGAGGCTGGAACATTGAGGAGAGGGCCTGTCTGCCGGGCGGCTTCACCTGGACAGGGTGCCTGGGGAAGGGGGCTGAGATGGCATTTCTCTTCCCTGTGGGGAGTGGAGTGCGGGAGGCTGGGAGTGCGGTGGGCAGGGGGCGGCTCTGTGCTCCAGGGGCAGCTATTAGGCCCCAGCCTTCCGGGCAAGGCCCCAGGTCAAACCTGTTGCCCCGAGCCTTCCAGCTCTTTCTGCTCCAGGTAGCTCTAGTGCCCAACAGACGGCAACACAGAGGAGGGCTTCACCCAGCAAGACACTGTGGAGGTCCCCAGGGGTTTGGAGGGGTCTCTGAGTCACGGTGGGGGGCACCCCGAGTCTCACCATTGAGAAGGCTGGACTCCCTTCCCCCAGCTGGGTCACTTCCCTGTCT